TGTAAGATATATTGCAAAATGCAGTACAGGAAACTGACCCACTCACAGTCATACTAATGTTTTCTTTTCCTCACCCTTGCTCAACATATCTCTGATTCTSTGTGCAGGGTGTGAATGTCCTGAGCACGGAGAGGGGACGTTGCAGGATCCAAACAGGATCCAAAYAGGATCTGCTCCCCATGGCTCCATCGTCTGGGTGGCTGCAAGTCTATGCAGTATTTCTGCAGGGGTGTTTTACACYGGTTAATTCTCACAGAAATGGGGCACAGAGTCTCTAGCTTTCTTTTATCTCCCATGCARTAAATAAGCAGTGGGTATGATACAATCTCTGAATGTATATGAACTGGTAGATGTAATTATTCATGAAGGAGATTGTTCTTGTTCATGTATGTGAGTCCCTGCTGAAGCTGTACCTGGTTACAGATGACTTTTGTCCTTGCACAAGAAGTGTAGTTACCATCTCTTCATGAGCTGAGGAATGAATGACTTAGTGATACTGAGTGCTGTGATTTGTTATTTCATCTATGTTTGGAAGATTTTTATTTTCTTTCATAGATTTTTGACCTCATTTTCTAAAGTATTTCTTAAGCTTGAAGTTGTCATATCTCTGCAGGAATTAAACTAGTTATCCCAGACCTTTATGGTCAATAGGAGAAAATAAATAAATAAATAAGTAAAGAGAAAGGAATTGTACTTTTAGGGTGTGATTCATTGCACGTTGAAGTAGTCACCCAAAAATAGGTTAGACAGACTGTGTCCTCATAGTACCTACRTGATTGTAAAGGAAACCTGAGGTGACCAGCTACATTGGAGGCAGCTGTAGTGCAGTGCAGTTGCCTAGAGCTAAGTAAGGTGATTTCCCAAAAAATTTAGTGGACAAGGTGGGCTATACCCTGTGTGCCCAGCTCACAGCAGACAATTGATATTGTAGATAATGGATAACATACTACTCAGCTGGGGGGCAATGGACAGGATAAAGATCTGAATCAGAGGGTGGGATATTCCATGAGTGGTCTATATATATTTGTGTGTGTCTGTGTGTGTATGTACATATATATATTTTGTTTGTTTGTTTGTTTGTTTTAAAGTAATGAGGTTTCAGAAGGACTCAGCTCAGAGGCAGCTGCTGAAATCACTTCTTGGTATACAGACTTCTTGGGACACACAGCCAGTTCTAAAAGGCTGTTTTTAGATCCTGGACATATCTGCCAGCACAGATAAGGAGCCGCCTGCCAATTCCAAATACACACACGACATTTACTCAATCACACACAAACATAAACAAGCAAGTAAACAATTTCCTCCCTCCCGTAAACTAATCAAGCTATTTCTCTGTCAGATGGAAAAGGAAAAAAGAAATGGCCTGCTATTGTTTTTTTTTTTCCCTGATTTTAAATACAAGGAGGGGCCTAGATACTATATTAATGCATGAGCCATTTAAGTACATAAATAGAAATATGCTTATTTAGGCATGTCTGGAAAAAAAATGCAAATAAAATTGTAAAACTTTTGCCAGCTTTGTCAAATGAGATTGGAATCCATCCATTATATGAGAGCCTTCAATTTTCACACTATGAATCAACAAAATCAATTAATGAATGCTGGGCATAATTGGCCAAATTGATTGCCATGTAAAACTTATTTATCATTATGGTGTTATCATTATGGTAGGGTGGTAGGGAGAAATTTGGCTCAGTAACTTCCATTTTAAAATGCCAGTCTTTCTATAGAAACTTAAGAGTTTTGGCTAGGAGTCAGTGACTGACCTTGTTTAAGATTCAGTATCATGATTGTTTTGGYTTGAGAAGCCTGATCCTGCTTTCATTGCCTTGGAAATTTCTCTCTTCTATTGAGGGGCTTTCAGAATTTAATTTGATTGAAGAAAAAGTGCCCTGGGACTTTCCATGAGTATTCAAGTAGTGGATAATGTGAATTTTTATGATGACATAACCACTCTTAATGTGGCTTCTGACTCATTCTTGATATAGTCAGGCATAATATTGGAGATGTTAGAGTACTGGGAAGATAGTGCAGCCAGAGAATGTGCCATAAGKATAAAAGAATAATTAAATTAGATCTCCTCAGGATGCATATTTAAATGGAGACCAAAATGCTGCATGTACAGTACTTGAAAAATAAATACTTGCACTGCCTAGTCTGTGATTCAGCTGTCATGTGAATTAAATGAAACTTTTCATACAAACTGACTTCAATGGAAGCACTTAGGAGAGTAAGTTACTCTCATGCAGAAGTGGACTAAAGGAGTCATAGATGTATTTCCTTTTGTCTGCTCCTGAAACCACCTGTAGACAGGCAGGTGCAGTAAGAACAGAACTAGCCATTGTATTTTATCTATTATTTGTGCTTCAGTAGCTGAGTCAGGAGGCTTGAGTTCTCTCCTCACTTCTGGCATAGTGTTGAAAAAGTCATGCCACCTTTGAGCACCACGGTTTCCTTAGCTGCACGTAGGAATAACAGGGTAGAATAATCTTTGAAAAGAGAGATTTGTAGATGAAAGCATGTGAATGAGGAGAATTTTATCTGCTGTCAGAATTCACCACCAAATTCAGTTCTTTCTCCTTTTGCAGTACTTACACTTTCCAATTGGTATTTCAGAGGTTATAAATACATATCCTGTAAGGCTGAGAAATAGCATTATTTAAGGCCTGCCAAATGGCATTATGAGGTCAAACARAACATCAAAAGTAGTTTAATTTTATTTCTGTTTTTGTAATGAATAAAGTGTAGAACTTTATGCCGTACAGATTTTGTTTGTGCCATGACTTAATATCGCTTTGATTTCACTGATTAAGATTTCTTGAACTTTGGAAGGCCACCCAAACAACAGGAAAACTGTTGGAAACTCAGACCCCACGCAGTGGGATTTGCTTCCATATTAAGACATTTAAATTCAGATGTCTGAACGTGAAATAGGAATCTGCCACTATAGTCAATAGAAGTGGAGGTAACATAGTCAGTAATGCCTCCAGAATGATATGGTCGACCAGCTAATGTAGACCAGTTTAGGTCTAAACACCTGCCACTTTTGGGGGGTGTGAAGTATCCCACTAGTTGTCACTGAAGAAAGCTGTGGGTCCCTTGTAAATCCCTTCTCCTACCCGCCTGCCAAAACATCTTGGAGCATCTTCAATGGTAGGAGATAACTGTAAGGCAACTGAATGCTCTAGACTTGATTCAGTCTCACCCAGGCTTCTAGTGCCAAATCTGGTGGTATAATGGGTGCCCAAGATACGTGTTTTGGGATGGCAAATATGTCTTTACCTGTGAAAGAAACATGCCCTTCTGGAGTGGCAGCTGCAAACCAGTGGCATACCTTGGAACTAGATGGATGGTCTGGGTACAATTAATTGAGTTGAACTTTCTGTATCTTGATTTAGGTTGTACTGAACCTCTTTTTAGACTCCACTGACTGTATTGACTAGATCTCTGTTGATTATAACGGAAAGATGCTGAGACATCTAGCTTAMATGAAGATGTATAAATTTAGGTATATTGGTCCTTAATTGATTTTTTTTTTCCCGCTATTTTAGTCAGAAACATTATTCTAACTAGGTTTTCCATTTCTAAAATATAGTTTACTTCTTTTACAACAGTTGCAAATATGGTGCCAGCCAGATAATGTAGTATAATAAAAACACTCTAGACACAGCTCTGGTTTGTCTCTGGAAATGAGGAGAGGCAGCAGAAACAGCCTTTTTTGTCAGAAACAGCCTTTTCTGTCATGTTCCCTGAGCACACAACGCTGGCCAAACTAAGATTTTGGCAGTAGGAATTCCCCTGTCTGGAGACCAAAGTCTGTAGTGATAGCAATTTGTGACAGATTGTTGTGTGGAGTAAACTGATACCATCCTTGTCTTGGCTTCAGCACTTCCCGGCATGGGACATCAATGGGGTTGTTATTTACTGCAGGAGTAACACCAGGGGAATCTTGTTGGGTAAGCACTGCAGGATCTGGTTCATAATATCAGCTCAATAAATCTCTACAGGAGCATGCCTGGTAATCCACTAGATATGTAAGGGATCGCTTTCCTGGAAGGAAAAGCAGTTGTTGGAACAGCCTTTTTCTTGGGAAGAGGGACTACAACAGGACCTTGGAATTTACGAATACTGCCTGTTACATTCCATAGCACACCTAGAGGAAGGGATCTTCTTTTTGGAAGACTGATGTTTATACAGCAGGTGCTAGGACGTTTGGGGCGGGAGATGGTTACACTTACTCAGTTTTAAGGCGTTAGGTTTTTAGATCTGCACAACTAAAGCACTTAAATGTTTGGTTTGGTGTTGTTAAAACTACTACTCTAGGCTAATACTCTTGGTATTTTAAAAGCTAGTAGGACTTTCAGTAAGGTTTAATCTCTTCAAGGAGATTTGTGAAATTTGACTACTGTACTTTCAAAGCTCCATTAAAACAAACAAACAAACAAACAAACAGCTTTGATTTAGTACCGTGGCTTATAGTAACTTCCAAAGTGTGTGTGTGTGGGGATATTTCCATCCCTGCTAGCAGCCAGGGAAGGACTCACCGCCGGGCTTGAACTTTGGAAGTCCTTGCTACTAGTGCGTGCCCTGCAATGCAGGATACGTGGAACGACAGAGCCATCGCAGCCACATCGCCATCGCCGCTGGTGTGGATGCAGCAGCTGTGATAATATTTCAAGTCAGGCCCTGATTAGTTAGGGAAGGTCAGCTATTTCTGACTGGCCGCACCCAGATAGAGAAACAGAATGAAGCTCTGCCATCCATGTCCTAAAATAGAAGGCCCTTTTCATCTCTCAGGCTTGAGTCAGCCTCATGGAACACAAATTAGGAGACACAAATCAACTGACAGAGTGTAGGGAAATACAGACGGAAAAGCAAGCAAAGAGAAAGTCCTTTGGATATGAGCTGTACTCTCCAAATTGCTCTTTAGTCATTTGATCCCAATTTTTCTTTTTTTTTCCTTAAGACATTAAAGCATTTGCTTGAAGATAAATTTGATAATGAAACTGAGTGTGGCAATATTTTTTGGAGGCTTCTTTGCATCTTTGGGAGTTTTGCTTTTTTTGGTGGCATTTGGAACTGACTATTGGCTTCTTGCTACGGAAATAGGAAGATGCTCAAAAGGACCTGAGGATGCTGGGGTTAGTATGTGGTTATGGGTTTTTTGTTGGTTTTTTTTTTGATTCATAACAAAAATTTTATGTGTATGTTTCTTGGATATATTCATTTTGTAAGAACTTTCTTCTTTATGAACTTTTGAACATCCTGACCTTCTAGGAGACCTACAAAGGTGATCCAAAGCCTCTTGTAACCAACTGCAATCAACTCTAAAATTAACTTGTGTTTTGTGCTGGTGCTTTTTCAGTATGGCATACTTTCCAAGAAACTGTAACTACAGTGACATGCTATTCCATACCTATATTCAGCCAAGATGTATTTCTTTGTGGACAATTTCAATTGGACTTGATTCAGCTAATTGGAAAATGATATGATAACCTATGATAATGGCTTTTTTTGTAGGAAGAGAAGGCTACTTTCCATCATGAAGGTTTCTTCTGGAGGTGTTGGTTTAGTGGAGATGTAGAAGAGAATAATGCTAGCATGTGGAAGTTCTGGTACAGTAAGTAACATTTTTCTTTTGAGTTATCTACAGTGGTTTGATCCCAGAGCTGGTTTTATTTTTCTTGTGAATCCTTGACTTCATACAGTATCTTGGGTAACAATGTTCCATAGCTCTCCTAAAATAAATTCTTGACAAATGCTTTCTTAATCTGCACTAAAAGAAACACTGAAGTCAAATCATATATTTTTAACTACCAAGTCAGGCTTTAAGTGTTGTGACTGTAATGTTAACCATGAGTCCATTCTTACAAGGATGATCTTCTGCAGTTTTTTGTTAGCAGACTGATTTTTTTCCTAAATGTCAGGAAAGAGGAAATTCTGTAAATTTTTCCTTGCCAAATTGCTTCAACTGACTCTAGCAGCAGGTTAAGGAGGGCATGGGGGATTCTACCGTAAGAACGGAGTAGGTATTTCATCTCCAGGAGAATCATTATACTTAAATTCATGGACTCCTGGACATGTATGTGAACTTTGGAGGCTCTCAGAATAGAGGAGGATGTTATTCCTCTACAAGGTGCTGTTGGTTTTCTTTCAGCCCATATTCCAGCAGATAAAATAGTGCTTTGCCAACAAAATCTTCCGTGAAGAAGAGGTCCATCAAAACTTCTTTTCCTGTCTTTTACCCTGTCTCTGAGTCACAGAGCTCTGTGCACTTGCTTGTGCAGGTGCCATAATAGAAGTTTGACCTTGATGGCCCCTCTTTTGCTAAATTGCTTGCTCAAGCTTAGATGACAAATTTAGTAGTCACTGTTGTTAATTTCCTCTTCTTTATCTGGAGAATTCTGCAGGCAGAAATAGGAAATTTAAATGCAATTTAAACTATAGCCAGCCTTTACCATTCACAGTGGTAAGGTGATGCTTTTTATGAGCATTTAATATAAAGGGTGAAATAACCCTCCTTTTGGGATATCGATTCCATAGATTGAACTCATATTTGTTCAGGCTATAAACTTTATGAAGATGCTTGATATTTTCTTCTTTCACAAAAGAAAAAATAATTCCCTTATTTTTTTTTCTTTGGGACGTACAATAGTGAGAGGGACATAATTATCCCTCACAAGAGGGATATGCATGCATGGGGATATGCATACAAGGGACATGAATGCAAAAGCACACATATGCATTGCATATTAATTGCTGTGTACCAGATCCTTGCCCCCAGCAAGCCTGCCTTACTGTTCCTATAGTACAAACTGAGCATGAGTGCCCTTTAGGGAATATGCTTGGCTAATTATCAGGGTGGATATCTCTTACTAAATCAACATACACTGTAAAGATATTGCCAAGGAAAATCTTGACTTGAGAAACACAGCTTGTCCATTTGAAGAAGACTTTTAAAATACTTTATTGTTAAGGCAATAAAACATTGATCTTTAACTTTCTTTTTATTTTAGCCAACCAGGCACCTTCTAAGAACTGCACACATGCCTACCTCTCACCATTTCCTCTTCTCCGAGATGAACACAACTCAACCTCCTCTGACTCTTATGACTCTGCAATCAGTAGGTGGCTTTTTTTTTGGCTGGATACAGTGTCAGTAGTTTCATGAAGACAATTTAGATGCTTCAGTATAAAACAGTGTTATCACTCCACACAGTTTAATTAATAGAGTTTTGGTGTTTCATACTTCCCACGCTTACAACATACTGTCACTGTTTAGCAATGTACTTAAATGAATACTATGCATTAAGTTTGGGAGCAGAATGGAAGTTATTTCTGAAAAAAAACCCATAGCTTTCCTTTTTAGTACTTTATCTCCAACATGAAAAGTAACTTTTTGGAGCTGAATGCACTGTATACATATTCCTTCCTATATATTTCAGTTAAACTATTTGTTGTTAAATTAACAAGGCAATGTAGAGTTCTACTGCTTTTGTACTTTAYGGGGAAGGAGAGAGTAGAGTCTTTAAACTGTCTAACTTTAGTCAGCTAACTCAGATATACTGCAGCGAGTGCTGGAGGTGCCAGTCTCCCTATTGACACTCTTGGGAGCTGTGGCACTAAAACATATATTATGTTAAACAGAGATATTAACACCAAGAAACTCTAGTGGAGTAACAGAGATGTAGGCAAGTACATATACATATATATATGCATATAAATAAATACATGTATCACAGTAGTTGAAAACTTCATGTTTGAATAATACCAAGAAATCTGTCTTTACAACAAAAATTGGTCACATGTCATCAAATCAAGGGCCTTATGCCAATGTATATAAAAGAAATCACTTCTAATAGCTATTTCATATGATTTCTAAAATAACTTGTGATGTGTGGATGCTGTATGTCTCTTATCCTGATGGCTTAATGACTCAAGTGCTCTTTTCCTGTCCTGAAGTTGTAATTATACCTTTGCTAAATCTGAAGTGTCTTTAGAATGCAGTCTTTATGCTGTGCACATGAAAAAAAGCTGAATTGATAATAATTCTGCTAATTTGTTAGCTGTTTGTCCAAGAAGAATTTAAACCTCATTCTTYGGAGTCAGGTATCTAATCTGTAACTTCACAGCACATTTAGAAAAGTTTATCTTTCCAGGTAAAAGTGACAGAATCATAAGTGCCTTATTTATCTAGGCAGAGTTTGTGTCTCACTCATACATTCAGAAAGGATCCTTGAACTATATTGCATGATTACACAGAAGTGGACAAACAAAGAATAAGGAAGAGAGAAGAAATATCATCAGAAGTTTAATTAATTTTAGTTAATGTTTGCTGAAAGAACCACTGCTCAAATAAAATTTATCTATCTATATTTCATTTGAGGAGATTAAAATAGACTGAACTGTACTATATAGATAATGGCCCATGTAGAGTATATTCAGTTCCATTTTTACTATATAAACAGATACAATTGGATTGCTTTGGAGCTCATTAAAACTGTTGAGATTTATTCTTTTTTAACGTATCTAGTTCATTYTCAGCATTCAAGTGGAGTTATTTGCAGTAGCAGGTATGCTTGTTCACGAATCTTTCACAACTTCGGTAAAGAGGGTTATGTCATTGTCTCTTCTGTTAGTTCAACATTAATTTCTGGTTTAGTCTAATTTGACAGTTGTGCCCAGGATATTTAGCAAACCAGCTTTTAAGCCTTGCTGTAACTGCAGTCACTAAATTGAGAAATACTAGAGGTGAATTCTGTTCTCGATTCATAGTGAAGGAAATACTGTCTCTGTGAAAGCCTGTGAAAAAAGTGAAGGTGCTGCATGTGACTTCATGCAAAATGGATTTTATCAAAAATTTCTATATCCACATAGAAAAAATTCTATATTCGCATCTAATACCTGTGTCAACTGTACAAAGAACAATGCACTACCAAAACATTGAGGTTATTGTTCATTTTGCCATATTTTCTGCTGTTTGGTGATAAAATATCTTCTTTTTCATGTCTCCTGGCTTTCTCAACACTCACTTTGCGGGTTAAAAAGAAATCTACACTTGGTCTCCTCACAAAGATTTATCATAAGGTTTTTGGTGGGTCAGTCAAGTCCTGCTTATGTTAGGGGTGAATAAGGAGAATTTTTCTGCCCTTTAAAAAATACTCAGCTTCTTTATAAAAAGATATAAAGCTGATATAAAGGCTTTAAATTTCATTAAAAAAACAAACATGCATGTATAACGTAAAATTTTCTAAATATTTCTAACTTTCTTTTAACTGAACTGCTACTTTTCAATTAAGCAGTTCAATTTTCAATTAAGCACATAGCTTCTTCTTTTACAAAGTGTTTGTCATTAGAGGTTTTGGGTTCCTATCAAAGTAATTTTGGTTTAACTGCAGCCCCTAGTGGAAACACAAGTGAGCTTTCTCAGTGGAGTCATCTGGTTCGAACAACTCGGGCAAAACTAAGTTTCCCAAGGAACATATAATCTCTGATAATTTTTGAGTGGTGTGGCTTGACCAAGTTCTCTGTTGACATAACTCCTTTGGTTTTAGTATCAGTAAGAATTTGACTCAAAGCTTTCCTGGGTCATAATTAAAAGAGACTCAGTCCATGCCCTCGTAGTTTATTTAGATCTTTTCATGTGTTGTTTTTAAGCTGTAATTCCTATGTGCTTTTGTAATAGTTCTGGCTGCAGACACTGGATGCTCTGAAGCTGAGAGTTKAGTACACTTGAATAGTGCACTTCGTAAAGTACATTTTAGACTAAAGCTTTGGTTCATCCTGCTATGAAAAACCTAGCTTATGCTCTGTGTGTCAATAGTTACTTAGGTGGAAAAGTAAAGGCTACAATGATGTTTATAGTGGGGTTGTGAATCTGTGTTTTAAAGCCTAAAGTTTCCTTCCATCATTACTGACAGATGCATGATCAGCTTGGAAAGGTTAGAAAGAGCTGCTTTGAATTTGCTGTATTTTTTAATCACAGTTATTATGGGGTTAGTTTATTCACTGGTTTTGTTAAGTATCTCAGGAATGGGAAGAAAGACTGATCTTGTCCCTTCCTAYATATCTTACCTGCAGTGTAGAAGTATGCGGCAGTATAAACCGTTTTTTATAGTTAATGCACTTTAAGGAGTCTTAAGGCTCTGCGATTTATCTTAACCTTAAATAGGCATCTAAGTGAAATTGGGGTAGCCTGACTGTAGGGAATTTCCGTAGTGGTACCATGGTTTGTAAGGATAGCTACTTTATTGTGCAACTAGTAAGTAAACCCATGCAGCACAGCATTGTGGTGCCAGCACATTCATTTGTATGATGATATACAAATGCACACAGTACAGGTTAAAAGCTAGGAATAAATTGAAAAAAAAGAATAAAGAATTTAACCCATACAAAAAAACCCATCCCAGGAGTGGTGGTATTTGCATGCTAAAATAAATGTGCTTACATCCATGTTTGTATTATCATGATCAGATTAGTTGGAGCTATCCTGTTAGGCTATTTTGAAATAGTAGTTAAGTGCTAGCTAAATTAATTAATTTTATTACACCATTAGGTTAGTTAATGTGGACATTCAATGAATGTCACATCTTTTATAAAGCTACTTCTTCATTTAGCATAGGAAAATGATAGGCCTGTTTTTGAAAAATGTACGAAGTCACACAGAATCACACAGAATGGTTAACTTTGGAAGGGACTTCTGGAGACCATCCAGTCCAACCCTCCTGCTCCAGCAGGGACACCCAGAGCACGGGGCACAGGGCGGCATCCAGGCGGGTTTGGAAGAACTCCAGAGAAGGAGACTCCACAGCCTCCCTGGGCAGCCTGTGCCAGGGCTCTGTCACCCTCACAGCGAAGAAGTTCTTCTTCACATGGACATGGAACTGCCTGTGATTCAAATTGTACCCATTGCCCCTTGTCCTGTCCCTGGCCACCACTGAGAAGAGTTTGGCCTCATCCTCCCTATGTCCTCCCCTCAGGTGCTTATATATATTCATGAGATCACTCAATCTTCTCTTCTCCAGGCTAAACAGCCCGTGCTCCCTTAGTCTTGCCTCATACGAGAGATGCTGCAGTCCCTTAATCAATGTTTCTCTCCACTGGACTCTCTCTAGAAGCTCCACACAGGTCCTCACACAAGTCATCTCATTGGCTTCAGTGAAATTATTCCTGAGAAAAAGCACAAGGTCTAGCACTTAGTCAAGAGATTAGTTTTAATCCTGAGTTAACTCTTTTCAACTTTATTTGGAAATAAACAGTAGTTCCTTAACTGCTGTAAATTGCCCTACTGCCTTCTGAAATGAAATTGGAAGCTATTTAATGGCTCTGCACTGACCCATTAGTTTAATTTGTAGCTGCTAGTACTATTTTTCTTGACCATTAGTATTTTATTTTGTCCAGTGTTGGGCGCATTGCCAGCAGTTAAAGTAGTGCTTAATATAATGTAGAATACAGAATGTTTATGAGACTGACAAGAAATTCTGGTTCAGCAGCTATTACATCTAAAATGGTGTGATCAGATTTATTGGGAGGTTTGTTATGGGGTAGAAATTAACCTAAAGTAATCTCGGAAATACCAGCAATGACATATGAAAATAATAATTGMGTAGTGAAATGTTAGAAGTAACCTTTTTCTAGAGGAAAAAAAAAATGCTGTTAGGTAATACAGTCACATAATTGCCCATGAGAGATTGTAATACAGTACATTTACTATTGTAAAACTCCCCAGCCACCAAGCAGTGATAAAGCAAGAAGTATTTAACAAAGCAATGTGTTCACACTGTGAATATTATATTTGTTTTACTGTTCAGATTATTTTTAAAAAGAGGTTATTACTACTGTGGGATAGTAAAGGGTATTAAGAAGCAATGAGCAAAGTTTCGCAAGGTTTACTGTGTTTCCAGTTGCACCTCGTGCTGCTCCTGGCCTCTGTGATCTCATTTACGGTTGTTTATCTACAGAGCAGATGCTCCTGATTTGTAGCAATTCAGGCACTTCGTCTTACATTGTGTTTTATACTGTAGGTGCCCTTTTGATACCTCCTGTCAAAAACATCTTGATGTCTCTTAACATTATACAGCGAGATAAAAAAGGTGGAACTGGAAAACTAGAACTGGAAACAGTTCACTTCAGGATTTGACTTTGTGGGTGAAAGCTGAAGGCAGCTTTTCCAAATTATTTTCCCTATCTGTAGTAATGATCACAGAGCTCTGTGCTCATTTATGTTTCAGAAAGGTTTTTAGCTTTACAYTTCTTAATAATTCATCTTCAGGATTAAATGGTTGTTTTTTGTAGGCCATAGGAAATGCATGGCCCAAGTCTTTTAAGTGGTCAAGATTTTAAAACACTTGCAGCCCRTAAGAGCAATAAAATATCTAGTATGTTTTCAGGAACTTGGAGTTAACATCTCCAGTGGAAGATGGGTATTGTATCGTGTTGTTGAATRACCTGTCCCTGAATAAGCTACTATGGACCTTGTAAGGTGTGTGCTGATACAGTATAAAAATACGTAATTGAGCTGACACAGCTGCGCAGCTTTGACAAATATAACACTTCTTCTCTCTCTTCTTGTACAAGGGTAACACCTTCCGGTATGAAATTGTGCCTTTATAATCAGAGCTAGGATCTATTATACTAGCAAAGAGGCTTTTGCTGTTATTCAGCAATTTCTCCGGAATTCAGCCCACTATTCAAACCTGCATACTTCTCCTAGTTTTCAAATGATGCAGGAATCTCTAGAGGGATCTAAGTTAGGATCTTTTGGGAGAAGAGCAAGTAGCAAGGCAAAATTACAAGTCATGCACTTTAGAGAGGGAACCCTTCAGCTGTAACGCTGCCGAGCTACCCTGAATGGTGCAAAGCTCAAAGCCAAGCGTGCCGCATGCGCCTCTCTTTTCCCCTAAGCACTGCTTTATTTTTAGGCCTGCCTGGCACTGCCAAGGCAAATGTCCCTCCCTGAAGGGCTGATGTACTGAGACAAGCTACAGAACCTGCTGTTTAGCTCTCCTGCACGTACAGCAATGATATCTAAGGTAAACAAGGCGGTAGTGCCTTGTACTTTTATTACTTTCACTATAGGAAACACCTGGAACAGCTCAAGTTCTTGAAGCAGCTAAATCAAACATATCTGTGAAACTCATACATTTAGTTGCCTGCAGCCTTTGAGGAGTCAAGGATATTCCTTAATCTCTAGATCAGAATTTGGGCTATCTTATAAACTGTCTCAGCAAGAACTGAAATGGTCCCAGCTCTTGCGACACTTTGTACAGGTACACTGAAACATTATTCCTTGAAACAGGCTCCATGACTGTCAGTCTTCCCTTTCTGTAAGTTATGAAGAAGTGTCATTCAAAATAGCATATTCTGTTGAAATCAATTTTCAGAAATGTTTGAGCAAATCAAACTTTTCTGGTAACATTTCTCAAAGACTTCAAACCTTTTCTGTGAAAAATAATTAATGAATCTGTGTATTGGTTTTGTGTTTTGGAAAAGTTTTTGTCAGAAATTAGAAACATTGCCATATGACTTAGGCAACTGACCATGATGATATTGAAAAGGCTTTTTCCAGGTCCATTTTGGCTAGTGTGTCCTATTATATAGCATGACTTTGAAGTACCCAGTGCCATCCATGTAAAGAGTTGGATGGTTATAGAGTGATTTAGCAGCATTAGGTTTTAAATGAGGAAGTAATGTCCCATGGACTTGGGGACTGCGCTCAGGCTTTGCAAAGTAGCCCCATGGGTAAAATAATAAGAAATTGCTTCAAAGACCCAAGACTGAAGGACTTGAGAGATTTACCTTTCTAGGTCTCCATTCACTGTCTGTTTCCATTAAGTAAATCATTTAACTATGTGTTTAACTTTAAACAGGTGCCTAAATCCCATAAGACTTACCTACTTAGAGCAGAATGCATACTTAACTGCTTTGCTGAACCACAGCCCTGTTTCTTASCTACTATTTCCATTAGTATTTATTTATATGGAAAGAAGGCTTGTATTGGATATGAACCAAAACAGGTTTCACCCTTCTGCCAGCCTTTTTCACCCAGATGATAGCACATTCATCTTTCCTACGCTTTTTAGCATGGCAGAAAATTATGTCTCTGAATCTTTGCCCAGATTAGAAAAGATGTTATTTAAGAAGTGCCGCTAATGTAAATGTGGGGAATGTGATCTAGCCAATACATTTACAAGACTGATACAAGCAAGAGTGTGTACTTTACCACGAGATAAGCTGGTAAACTTAAAAACTAYAGATTTATGGAACACATTAGTGGGGAAACACTAACCAATAATATCTAGTGCACCTTTAAATTCCAGATGAAAGCAAACCTGAGTTATGCCAGAATAGTTGCCTCTAACAAGCTCTAAAGATTTGAAACTTTCAGGATATGAACACAATGTAATAGTTGCTTAGATGTGTTTTGCCATAACAGTAAGTAGGTGCTGTCAAATGATAAGTGGCAGTTTCTTTTGTGACTCACTTTCTCTGACTTGCCAGCTGGCTTATATGCTTTCCCTCAGTTGGGTGGAAATGTTTTTCACTGACTGAATTGTCAGTGCTTCAAGATTTTCAGATCTGACGATGGAGAGCTGTGCAACTCATAATTTTACTAATGGGTTGTGTTAATGTACCAATTTTTAAATTCATGGGAGAAATTTATGTCACTCTTGTAGCATTTGTAAAATGATGACTTTGTTAAATAGATGTGCAATTAGCTAGCTAAAAAATAATTGTTAGAAAGACTCTTTTGGCCAGAGTATGTCACAAAACTCTCGGCTCATTTATCACCAGCTGCATCCATTAATTCAGCACTGCTTGGCACTGTATAACAGGGACTTCTGAAACATCACATTCTAAATTTAATAAAATACAAAGAGCTTTACAGCAGGAATAGGCCGCTTTAAAATACTTCACAACACAGTTTACATTTTCCTGAGTTTCTCTATTTTCCATACTTTCTCTTCTCTCCTGCTTTAGATTTTCTTCTGTTGAATGTGACTATACGTAAGGAGAATTATCCATTTTTAAAATTACAGGGCAGTTAAAGATTGTTATTGGTGAGATAGTCTTAGCACTAAGAATTTCAAGATGTTACAGCTCCCTGCCTCTCCCAGTCAATTTTGGTGAAACAATCATATCCATTCAGACCAAATATTCATCCTGCAGGATTATCGCTACAGCTTTGGTATACCATTTTCCAAAGGGCATAAATTTGGTCAAGCTAATGGCTATATTAAACATGCACACACTGTCTAACTATTAAGCAGCTAGATTTCATTCTTGATAACCTGATTCTTTTCCATGATCGTTAGATAAGAACTAGGTTTGGGTTAAAACCTAATTTGGTCCAGATGGAGTGTAATATATACACACAATGGCAYGAATATTTGGTTTGTTAATCAGAGAAGGAAAAAGAGAATGGGAAAAGAAAAATCTTTGTTAGCCAAATATTTGACTTGCTTAAATTCTAAAATATATTCTTTTTCTTTCTCTTCTTCCCTTTCTCCAGTTTATCGAGGTTTCTGGACAGTTCTTATGCTCCTAGGAGTGGTCACTGTTGTGATGGCTAGTTTCTTCATCATCTGTGCAGCCCCTTTTGCCAGCCATGTTCTGTACAAAGCAGGAGGRGGCCTTTTCATCACTGCTGGTGAGTATGCTGTTTGCTCAGTCATTTAAAGTTATCAGAATACATAGGATGAGGTATTGCTCCCAGTTTTGCTTKATCAAAAATTATAATTGTGTTAAAAAAATGTTGCCATCATTTGACTTATGGGACACCTGCTTTAGAGGTCATTCATTGTTCAGTTATTTAGTCATGAAGTTACTCTAAAAGCTGCTTTTAAATTAAGACAAAAAAAAAAATCCAAGATGTAACTGGAGTTACAGTGCAATTTTAGTCTACATGTTTAGCAGAAAAAAAAATCCTTCTTTATAGAAGTAGGATTCCTAAGGACTTTAGCTAAGGAGATTTTTTAATGGTGAAATAAAAGAAATGAAGATGACTTTAAGGAAACTGGAAGGCACAGCACATTTGCATGACCAACATAGAAGGAGTGTTTTGAATTGTAACAAGGTAGYGCACAAGACAGTACTCACATATGAGTCAGTAGGAGCTTTAAAACACTATGAATGACAACAAATAAATGAGTTTCTACCTTCATCTTTATCTGCACATACCACAGAGGATGCACCCACCCACCATTCAGCTGATGGCCCACTCTCAGTGGTGCTTTAAAGCACCACGTTTAAAGCATTTTTTAAAGTGTGAGAAAATACTATGCTGCTGTATAACATTCAGTTGTGTAAAATGATAATATTCTTTTGTGTATAAASTCTGATCGGAGTCAGTTCTGTCAGAGCGTTGTTGTATTTTGGGCTAGAGTGCTCATGTTGGGGTGAAAAAGATTCAGCTTTGGTTCTACTTGTATTGCTGGTCTTGCCTACTCACTTCACCTCACAGCTCTGCCTCCATGGGCTGATGATGATTATTCCCTTTYTAAGGACATTGAGTGGGCAATATTTTATAGTGTTGTTATTAGAAAAAGACTCTGGAATACTTGCATTTATTCCCTCGAGAATTACTCCTCCAAAATGGTAGGTAACAAGTTCCTCCATCTGGAAATTTATTTCATTCCAAAACAGGTGCTTAAGGCAGGTCATATGAATCCCCTATGAGGGAGCTCTGTATCTCTTTCCTTTTCTGAAGAAGTCTAGAGAGACTACTTTTAGGTGTCTGAAGTTAGGTGAGCTCTTATCATTTGTGACCTTGGGCCTACCTCTTTGCCCCTCTCGCCCTTTGTCCCTACAGAACAGACGTTTTCCAAGAAAAATCCTGAYTTTTGTTATGTATTTGTCTAGTTTCTTTCAACTTGACCACTATTCTCAATCAAAACTTCAGAACAGAAGTGTGTTATTGTTGCTACTACCATTGTTGTCATTGAAATGCAAAGATATTTAGCAAAATTGTGGTTTGATTTGCCAAAAGGAATTCCTGGCRGTAGGATCATGCACCTATTTTGCTAGTACAAGATATTTTGGCTTGGTAGGGGCACAGAGTTCCCAAACGAGCCCTTCTGCATCCACCCTTAATCATATTGGGCTAAGTGGACAAGTTACTTCATGTAAATATCCTTGTCCTATCCAAAATMTCATATTACTCACAGACTCAATACAGTGAATGGATTAAAATCATGTTGAAGGGAGGGAACACGCAGACATAAGAAGAGCTTAAAAATACTTTGCATTATCAGTTGCTAAAACTGTGTCCAGTGGGATGCCCTAGATAGCAACTCAGTTTCTTGTAGTGTAACTAATCAGTGGCACATTTTTCTAGATGGAGAGTAGGAAGGATTCTCAGTCCCAAAGACATGACAGCATGAAATTGCTATCTCATTTTTTTTTCCAATGAGAATTACTCATAACGAATATTAACTTAATTCTGGGATAACATGGGAGCAAAGTAAARCAAGGCAGAGCCTGATGCAGAAGAGAAATGTTTTTGCATGCCTCTAAATGGAAGGGCAATGTGCTCTGCAGTGTTCCCTGCTATACTGATTCCTTCCTTTATTTAGCTCCTTCAGGAGCCTGTACAGCCTTCCAAAAGGAAACAGGATATGGAAGGGGAGAGTGAGGTGGGATGGAGTATATTTGACATTCAGCATGTCAAGATGCTGATAATCAAGGTGCAGTCAGGGCATGCATCTATTTCGGCATAGATCTAGTGGGAAAATGAAGCAATGTTATGTGACAAATCATAGGGGAAGTCTGTCTTCTTGTAAGACAGAAAACAGCATTTGGATTTGAAGAAAAACATAGAAACTGTTTTGAAAGGGCCTGGATGTTGTCTTATGGTAAAGTTCATGTAGGAGTTAAACTGGAGAGAACAGAAGATTTCTGAGAAGTTAGTCACCATGGTTGTCCATGGAAAGTTGAAGACAGGAAGAACAGTCAATTTCTTCTTTATATTTATCTTTAAATGAAAATGCTAGATAAAGCAATTTTATTTCCTGTTACTGAACTGAAGAAGTACCTATATCTTTTTACTGCTTTAACTGATGAATGAAGCTCACTTGATGAATTAAGTAGCAGCTAAAAGCACTGACTTAAATGAAGAGAACAAGTTTTAACATAATCTGCTTTCCTATCATTCAGTTTAGACAATAGCTGAAGAAATTATTTGGAATGGCATTCATGTAAACAATTTATCCACACAAAAGTTAACTATTTTGTCTGAACTAATTGGTTAGATTTCTATTGTCAATTGTAAGAAACACCCTCTCAGAGGAAAATTGACCCTATCTGTGTTAGGGCAGATAGACTCTCCAGATTCTGGAGGAACAAAAAGCCTAAACTGATCCTGAATGTTATAGAATAAATTTACTTTGGAAGGGATTCTCTGTCACAATCAAGTTCAGTTTTCCATGCAAAGCAAGGCTGGCTTCAAAGTTAGAGCAGGCTGCTCTTAGAGGCTTATACAGTCAAGTTTTGAAATCTCCAATAATTTCTGTTCCATAATGTGTCTGGACAGCAGTCCTAGTGGCTGACAACCCTTACTGTGAAAACTACTTTTTTCTTATATACACCTTAAATTTAATTTTCTTATATCCACTTTGCTACAGCTCATGAGCATCGTCTCTCATGCTTTCACAGTCCACCTCTCCATCTGTCCTTATTTTCTCTATTATTCCATTTAGATGGAGTTTCTGTTTTCTTCTCCAAGCTAACTAACTCCAGTTCCCTCAGCCTCTTTGTGCTCCATCCTCCTAATCAATTTGCTGGTCATAGTCCTAGTTTGTCAGCAGTATCTCTTTTTTCACAGACCATCTCTGATTGGAAACAGTATGCAAGATAAGGTCTCACAAATGCTGAGAGGAATGATAACTTGTGACCTGTTGGCTATGCTCTTGCTAAGGAAGCTCCGTATGTGGTTAACCTTCATTTCTGCTGTAGCTGCCTCATTTCTTGCACACTGAGAAGGACCATTCTTGTGCTTTGAGGAAGCTGCTCTTGAGAACAATCAACTTTTCTGGGCCCCTCTGCCTTTCAAGGCAGCCTCCTTTGGATCCTTCCTAGCAGTTTTCTGAACAAGCTGAAGAGTTTTCAGAAGCTCTGAATCTTGAATGCCCTATTCATTTCTGTACTTCTAAGATGCTAAACTCTACCATTTCATAGCCATTATTGCCATGGCTAACATCATCTGTCATTTCCCTGACCTGGGTTTCCTTATTTGTGATACCAGGTTCAGTAAAGCACATCCTCTAGCTGGCTTGTCCAATGCCTCTCTCAAAAAGTTGTCCTTTATGCAGTCCTGCTATCTCCCTGATTGTACTTGCAATACTTCCCTYCTGGTAGATATCGGGGTAACTAAAGGCCCTAATGAGAACTTGGAATTGCAATCATAACTTTTCTTCCAGTCTTGGTTGGGCAGCAATACCCACCATTCCCCCTGTTGACAACATTTCTGATCTTATTTATAAGTCCCTGTTCCTCAGAATAACTCAGATGATATTCCCATGTGTAGGCAGCACCCCATCTTACCCRTTTGTTCTTCTTAAAAAGTCTCTATCCATCCACTGCATGACTGTAGTTAAGCAAGCCAWCCCACCATGTCTGTGGTGCAATAGCATCATCATCCAAGACAATCTCATTTGTGTACAAGCATTTGAGATGGGCTTTCAGTTGTGCTGCTTCTGAAGGGCAGTGTAAGCATCTCCTTCACTGCTGTGTCCCATGCATATGYCCTTCCCTCCCTGGCCTCCAATTATCAGGGAGTTTTGATCTCCATCTCCCAATAGTCGTTTTTTGCAGCTCTCCTCACAARRTTACTATGCATGTTGCTTTTCCACYACTTTGCCTGATGGATCTCTTCTCAGCAGTCCTTGTACTTCAGAGAAGGTCCAGCAGTCTCAGAAGCCAAAGCCTGTTGATGACACTGTCTGCAAAGCCAGGAGTTGATACACAGAGTGTGCCCACTTCTGCCCAAACCTTATCCATAGAACAGCAGATTTGAGACCATCATCACCATCTGTGCCCTCTGCTCTTATGCCTTACTCTCAGAGCACTGCAGTAATCGAGACAAGGTCTTTTTTCTAACATCACTGATGCCCCTGTGGATGAACAGCAAGGGATTGTAGCCCAGGTCCAATGAAGCCTCCGGAGTCTTTCCATGATGTCCCAGTTCTGGACCACAGGGAAGCAGCAAATGTACCAAGTCAGCTTCTCATTTAGCAGGTACATCTATTCCTCTCACAAAGGCACACACAGTTACCAGTTTTTGTGGCAACTTATTGACTGGCAGATCTCTGTGTTAAGCCTTTGAAACCACGTTACCTGCTTGAACCTGCAAATGAAGCTACAGATGTTCCTGTCAGTTCAAAGATACCACAGTCACTGTCCCTGTAATCTCACCTCCATGCCTGAGAGGATGGAGCAAGAGCAGGTATGGTGGTACAAATTGTAAGCTTTACAGTTGCTTCAAATATCATAGAAAAAAAAAAAGCAGAAAGTTGCCATAACCTAATCACTTAGAGCAGCCTTCACTATGTCCATAATTGACCCTGGGTCTGTTCCTGCAAGGTGTCTGGGCGGTGATTAGAAGTATCCCCCTGCACTGCTGTCAAACAAGTGAGCTCCCAGAAGGTGCGCAGA